TAACAACAGCCTTGGTCTAAAACAAACAATAGAAAAGGGGAAAATGAAGGTCCAAAGTTTTGTTGTTGTTGTTATTGTTTTTGTCATAATATGTGACTCGGCCATCCCATCCGCTTCCGAAGAGGACATCACCTCAGTTTTAAAGGAGCTAATGAAATGCCCAGATGACTGGCACAAAGCCATAGTGGTCCCATTTTTGGAAAAAGAAAAGCAACAAACAGGACTGTACAACATGCAGAGGCCTCTCTTTATTAAGCCACGCAGGTAAAATATACGCAAAGATACTAGAACAGCGGATAAGACCTATTGTAGAGAGATCTCTGAGTAAAATCAGTTTGGATTCCAAAAGGGAAGAGGGTGCACGGATTATTATTGTATTCGCATTAAGACAGATATGCGAGAAAACAATCGAACACAACAAAGAATCCAACATCCAACATCGTCTTTATAGACCAGGAGAAGGCTTTTGACAGAGTAAACCCTGCAAAACTCTGGCTGACACTCGAAAAGTATGGCGTCAGATGACAAATGTTACATAATGTCAGAGCTCTATATACCAAAAGCAGAAGCTCAGTAAGAATGAAAGAAGGCAATACGGACTGGTTCAAAGTAAGATCTGGGGTACGATAGGGATGCATTCTATCTCCCCTCCTGTTTATAATATGTATGGACACAATTACGCAAGACGCAAACCAAAGCCCAGAAAGCCTAAATGAACTTCTATGCGCACACGACCAAGGTCTTATTCATCCAAACCAACAAAGCCTCCAAAATCAAACTACCGAACTGAACAACAGCCGCGAGAAATTTAAAATAAAAATAAGCTCATTAAAAGCGGAAGTTATGAAAGTGAAACGAAACCGTTGTCCCCTCAAACAGTTGAAGGGGTTTTAATATCTTTTTTTTTTTTGGAAAACGGGTCCTTAGACAGAGAAATAGAAATGTGAACTAAAAAAAAATACCAACTCGCAACCCTCCTACCTCATCCAAACATCTCCTTGGACACAAAGAGACAGCTTATCACCTCAATATTCATACCAACATTATGCTACCCAGTGCCAGACCTGGACATTAAGTAAAACCCATGAAAGCAAAATCATCTCCTGCGAAATGAAATGTCTCCGCAAAACCCTTAACATCACAAGACGAGACAGGCAGAGAAAGGGAGAAGTAAGAGCAGCTATCGGCATTGAGCCCTGCATGCATTACATAGAAAGACAGAGAATAAAATGATTTGGCCATCTGTTACGTATGTCACATGACCAGCCAGTGTCGAGTACCTATAACACGAAGCACTCGGGCTATAAAGGAAGAGGGAGGCCAAGCAAGAGGTGGATCGACGGTGTCAAGGAAACCCTGAGAAAACCTTATATCATAACTGAAAGAGCTGCGGAGCTGGCTTACCATAGAAAACTGCATCTCCCTTCGACGCTTAACTGCAACAGAGGATGAAAAGGTAAAAGTAAAAGTAAGAAGATAGGAGGTAGTTGAGAGACTGTGTGTAATGTTGGTAAGCTATGCTATGGTAAAAGTTTAACGTTAACGTCTTTTCCAACACTGTGATCTTTTTTTACAAAACAGATGAATAGTCAAAGCAAGTCATTTAAGTTGTATCGGTGAGGTTTATCGGTGCGCAAAAAGTTCACAGCAACATACCTGAGGCTGTTAGGTTTGCCAGAGCCCAGCAGCCACACTCTACCACGGTCACATTTGACCGCTGTGACGTCAGAGCTCTGACCACAGTCCGCGTCCCGCCAGCGAGTGCTACATCAAGGCAAGTTTCGTCTGGGGAGGTATAATGTTGATGATGAGATGGTTGTTGTTGTTGTTGGTGTTGTCGTTTCCGTTGCTGTTGTTATTGTTGGTGGTGGTGGTGGTGGTGGTATTTTTGTGTTCTTTCTGTTATGGCTATTGTTATTGCTATTAAGTTGCTGTTTCTTCTGTTGCTGTCTTTGCTTATGTTTCATCGTGTTCTTTATATTTGTATGTGTTTTTCTGCAGTAAAGGTTTTTGCAGCTGATATAGACGTTACTGTCATTGTAGCTTTTGTAGTTGTTGTTATTCCCCACCACTCCTCCACCAGCCTTTTCCCTCCCTCTCTCTCCATTTCTCTTTCTCACTCTACTTCTCTCTCTCATCTCTCCTCTCTCTCTCTCTATCTTTCTCTTCCTGTCTTCCCACACTGTCTAGAAGTTTTATTATACAATGCATTGAGTCGTAACTACCTGTACAAATATAGACGACTCTCTCTCTCTCTCTCTCTCTCTCTCTCTCTCTCTCTCTCTCTCTCTCTCTCTCCCTGTCTCTCCCCCTTCTCTCTCTCTCTCT